CCTTTGGGGGGGGGGAGAATCTTTGAGTTGTTATATCCAAATAAAAGGATGCAGGGACTGTTTAGAGGAAATAAGTCAGAATGCAAAGGTACAATGGACTTTCTAAGTAGCTTGATTGGAACATGGGTGTGGAACATTAGCATCTATGGTGAGATAAGAATCCATCAAGCCCTGATGGATGCATCATTGTGAACTTGGGAATGAATTCAAGTTCAGCAATCTCAGTTTGTTATCAGTAATTGCAGCTTCTCTGAGGAGTGTTAATTCTCATTCAGCAAGTGAATGACCTTAATCCTAAAGTCTGCCTGTGTCTAACTGGAACCTCACTGGGAGTAGTTCCTTATTCCAAGGTACTTGGGAATACAGGTCTCTTGGAGGCACCCCCCCCCACACACACACACAAAGCTTGTCTCCCTTAACCCGGAGCCTGGCAGTCTAGCTGGACCGTGTGGACGGGGCTCCTGATATGCCGGCGTCGCTCTCGGCGGCCGACCTGCTGGGCGCCTCTGGGTCCCCCTCGGGTGCAGAGAAGAGCCCCCCCAGGCCTGACTCTTCCCCGGTCTCTGTTTGGTGGCAGAGACAGACGTGTGCAATTCTGAATGTACCCCAAAACGAACAGGTCCCTCTGGACTGGCTGGGTGGAGGGTGGCTTCCTCGGAGTCGAGGCTGAGGCCAGGCGGGAGTTCAGGGGGGTAAGCTTTGCTGTCTTCCTTTCTCACACACTCTCGCTCACACACACACACACACATACATGTGCGCGCGTGCATAGACACACACACACAAACACACACCCTCGGTCTTTGCCGCGGCCCTTCTTGCTGCTTCCGATATTTAACGCTGGTCTCTGCTGTTCTCCCACAGAACTTCACTCTCTGTTGGAACTCTTCAACGCTCTCTAACTCTCCCCCCCCCACCTCCGCCTTTCCTCTCCCTCCTTTCGTTGTGATTTTTAAAAAAGCGTTGCTGATTCCTTGTCATGCTCCCATCTCCGCCCCACCCCCTTTCCCTTGCCATAGGAGAATTAAAGCACCATTAACCGCCGACCCAGCACCGCTGGCTTCCGATCTACATATCCAGGCATTTTAACTGTGTTCTTTTTATTTTCATTTTCTTTTGTGTGGTGTTTAATTTTTCTGTGCGTGTTTAAAATATGTTTGAAATAACGGAACAAAACTTTACATTAAGCCATGTTCATTGAGAAAGCGACGAAGGGTGCATTGAGGGGATGGGGGGGGGCACCTGTTGCCACAACCGGGCGAGAGGGTCGGTTGCGCATGACCCAGAGGATTTTGCACGGGGGACGTGGCTTCTCACCCCACCACCCCCGAGGCTCTAAGCATTGCTTCTGGAGGGTCAGCAAGGGGCAGGTGTGTCTTAAATCCACGTCACCGTGGACTGGGCTGTCTGGAGAGGTCGAGTCCGCGTGGGGGGCAGAGCAGGGGTCAGGGTGACATGCCAAGGAGAACGATAGAAACCCCCCCCCCCAAGCCCCATGAACTTTTTTTGGGGGGGGAGAACGGGGATTGTTTCGGATTTGAGCTCATTTTGCGTCGCAAACGACACTAAAAGAAATGAAATGTAAATAAAATGTTAAAATCTCGTGTTTTGTGGAGAGTCGTGGGAAATCTTAATTTAAATCTGAAAACCAAACTGCAGGGAGCGAAGTGGGGGAGGGTCCCTCAGGTTGCAGTCTAAGGGGAGGGGAGGAGAGTGTCACCG